TTTAAAACTGCTGTGGTCCAAGCACCCTTGTCATAAAAGTTATTTTGATGTTCTAAAATCCCCCATTGTCTCTATTTTTTATGCAGTCTACCCTGTTTACTAAAGCCTTTATCATTTTGCTCTTCCTATGCATTAAGTGGTATTTCTAAGGCGCTTTTCCTTGATGAGAGCAGCTAGATCAGTAGTGTATCTTTTCCATGAACACAGTTCATGGGTCCTTCCCCACTGATGCCTGTGCTGGACTTCAAGCCAACGAGGACAACTACCCCCTTAACTAAAGCAGAGGCGTGTTTGCTGCATCAAGCCCAACTGCCGTCACCACACGTTCCTTCAGCATTGTAAATTTCCATTTGCCATTACCCACATTTCTTAAAAGGAAGTAGATTGTAACTCTCTAAAGATTTATAGTTTCTTTCTAAAATATCTATCATTTTAAACGCAGCGCTGCTGCTGACATTCACCGAACTGCCATAGATAGACTGGTAAAGTACTTAAAAAAAAAAAAAAAAGACATTACAATATATCCAGATATGTTTCAAGAACTTTTGTCGGGTATGGACTCGCTTGGAGACATATTTCATAAAAACTGCTATTTACATTTCAGCTATATACTTTCTCTCTTTATGTCGTTTTCCATTGCTCTGGATTGCCAAGGCTTTTGCATAAATAGAAATTTTCCCTTTCGTCTCCCCCCGCCGGAGCCGTGCGGCGGAGCCCGCGGGGCCGCGCGTGACATCACCGCTTGTCCTCAGAAACACCGCCCGGCAGCGTCACAGGATTGACCTCAGGTGTTGGGTTTTTGGGTATAACCATTATTGAAAAGACAGCGGTCGAGATTTACTGGCTGGTAAGAGTTGATGATGATCAGAGATTAAGGGTGGGACTTTCCAAACAGTACGAGCCTTGAGCGCATTCGAATTTGTACTCCATTACCCAGGAGCTTTTCAAAGCTCCACCCTAAATCTGTATGAAATTATTCTAGCGGCAAGGAAAGTATATTTACCTAATGTCAAATATTAAACATTACTGCCCATTAAAATATAGGCCTTCATTATATTTGGCCCGGTGCAGATGTGCAGCAGAGAAGGAGCAATTATCTTTCCCCACGCTGTGTACCTGGGCAGAGGAGCTGTCACTAATTCCTGGTGTCTGCCTGCGGATAACGAGCGTCTGCCTCGCGCGGCCCGTGGGGAAGTGAGCTACAGCTGCAGGCCGTAATTGCTTCTGAGAACCGGGCCCTTCATAATGCAAGTAAGCCAAATTGACCATGCAAAAAAAAAACGATGCATCCAAGCTTGTGGGCACTTTGGAAAATCGGGGCCAAAATAACTCCCTCCCTGTCACGCAGCGCGCTGCTGGCAGCCGCGGGGCTGGAACACAGACCTCTTTATTCCCAGCCCCTCGCGCCTGCTCCGAGCTCATCCCTCGCTCACGTAACCTGGCCTGTGTCGCTGGGGCTGCACCTCTTCCTTTTGTCACAGTTCTGCAAACTGCTCGGGCTTGCTCAGTCCAAAGCAAAACCAAGAGGAGCCGCTCAGGCTGCGAGCGCTTGGAGGAGCCCGCAGCGCCCCGGTGACACCAAGGAGCCCTCTCTGTGTGTGATGGGACTGTGGGAACCTGGCACGGCTCCACCGGCCGGGGACATCAGAGGCGAGGTGATGGAGCTGGCCTCTGGATGGCAAGTGAGCCACCTCGGCTTGGATTTAGCTGACAGAGCAGGTCTAGGGGAGCGAGGAGGGGAACCTGGCAAGCCCGGCCCTGGGCCTGCTGCGCCGAGGGTCACCGCGCATTGTGCACACCGAGTCCTCGTGCAGCGAGACATGAAAAGCCCATGCTGGCACGACTTCTTATTAAGCTTGCTCAGTGACACAGAAACGCTTTTATCTTAAACTCACTGAAAAGCTCTGGTGAATTTAGCTGAAAGTGCAAATTGCTGTTGTAACAATGAGGGATGTTCTTATTTTTCCCTGCTTAGATTTTCCTCCCATCTCTTTCCTTCTGACTCCTCTCTGCTTCCATTGTGAGGCTTTTTCCTAATAAAGCCGACCTTAGAGAGGGAAATAGAGAGTCCCTGGATGTCTATAATGCACAAGCTCTCAATCCTGCTGCCCACAGGTTTGCAGAGTAGCAGAAAATCAGTCAATTTTGGGGTAAAGTGGGAATTGAAGCTCCCAAAATAAGGCTACAGAAAGACAAGCTTTCTACCCTGTTGGATGAAATCACAAAGACAGCAAAAGAACTGGGGACACGTAAATTGTGAAAACACATTAGTCCTACACCTTCCACCTCAATTTTCTGCCTTTTTCTTGTTAGAGTAATTTAAAGTCCATGTGGTTGTATAACTCTGCTTTTAAAAAAAGTGATGAATGACAGCGTTTGAAGAAGCTGTTGGCTGTTTCACCCACATGCCACTGTTGGAAGCAAGAAAATATTAGCACAAAGCAAAAACGCAATGGGCTGTACAAAGTGCAGAGGAGTACCAGGCTTTAACCTGGCAAAACCTTGCAAAAACTCTCCTGCCCATAAATATTGGTTTCAGCTCACTGTACAGACGAATGCATTACTCCATGCTCATGAAGACAAAACCTCCAGTGAAGCTAGCCGACCAACACTGAAATCGGTTGCATTGAGCCTGAATAAGAACGATTAACATGTAACTGAGGCCTTCGCTGAAAGAAATTATAGGACATAGCTACACAAGAATAAGGACCCTATTAATGTCAATGGCTTTTAAATTTTGCTGTCCTTAGTGAATAAACCCAACTCTCTGTCAAAAAGTGTCCTAGTCAGCACCAGTTGAGTTTTTTTATAGGGGATATTTCCTAGGAATGGAAAAGCAACCCTTATATCATGCAAATATGAGGAATAATTGAGCAAGAACTCTTTCCTCTTAAGCTCAGAAGTTTTGTTGGAGGGGAGCAGCTCAGGACTCTCTTTTGCATCGCATTCCCTACCAGACTGCAGCGCTCTGAGCAGGACAGCGCTAGCATAGGGCTAACACACAGCTCCTTGTTCCTGACATATAGGAAAAAGAAACACAGTGAGTAATCATCAGATAGAGAAGATAAAGTCTTATTTTCTAAACCAGAAATAGACATTCAGCACTGAATGGAGGCATGATCCATTCTGTTGTTTCTTTTGGAAGTGGACCCTTGTAATAAAGTGAATGCGTCCCTTCTTGCTGTCAGGGGCTCCCAGCAGACAGGTTGTAATAAAATATAAAATTGAGTTTTTACCCCATAAGTACAATTGTTTGTCTCCCCCTGCTGATTTCCCAGCTCACTGGTGATATTATTTAAGATTACTTTTGAGATCTTCCTGCTGTTTGGCTGGATTAAGTTAAGAAATGTTCTTTAGAGGAGCAAAGCAGAAATCATGGAGTGTTTCTAACTGTGGAAGACCCTGAAAGCCTTGCTGCCTACATTGCAATTGCAGTCTCAAAGACCTTGCTGGGTGAAATCTTCCCTGGCTTACTCACCATGTGTGAGAAAAGGAATTTTTTGACCTAATAGTTCATTATAAACTTTCCTCAGAATGTTTCTCAGTTTCCACTACACTTCTCTGGGAAGTGTTCCTTAGGTCCAGGGTGGTATTTCTGCTTGAGATGTGCCTAAGAGCACTCAGGTCATCCCACAGCAGCCCACTAAGGGATCTTCAGATGGGGAATGTGATGGGAAGAACCGGGGGAGCTGAGTCTGCTATATCCCAATGAATATCTTTCTCTTTTCTCCTACCGTCTACGCAGGCAGGCCTGGAGGCAGGGAAGGGAGGAGAGAAATAGGCATTTGAATTTGTCTGGGGTGTCTCACAGAATGTTAGAACATGCTAAATATTCTACAAAAAATATAAGCAAGGGAAAGTACTGACCATCCCACTTAACCCCAAACCTATATAGTTTGGTTCAAAAGTTGCCTGAAGCACCCCAAAGCCATCTGCAGTAAAGAAATCCCTTGAGCTGATATAAAAAGAAGGGGTATCCCCGTGTCTTTTCAGTGACGCCTGCTTTGAAATAGTGATAGTCATACATGTACTATAGCATTTTTCCAGGAAAACTGCAAAGGTTGTAATTACATAGCCTTCATAGACTTGGAAATGGTTTAAGAGTTTAATGGTTTAAGATCTGGTCATTTCTGGCCACATATGATAGAAGGCAGAAAAAGAAAATGACTTTTTTACATATAATGACTTTGGAAAGTAGTAGTAGACAATGTGTAGGTGAAAATTGAATTAAAAGCCTCATTCCTGTATCCCTTAGCCTTTTGAGGTTTAACATGAGATCACCATCATTGCTTTAATGAATATTTCTCTTTCTTCATTCATATTTTTTTTTATTTTTCTAAAGAGGGGACAACTGTGGAGGGAGATGTGGGGTTGGAGTACTACAGAAAAAGGGTGGCAACTAGAAGACAACAGTAGGCAGCATGGACTGCGTCTCGTTACTGCTCATTTCGGAGGTGCCAAAGCTACATGGGACATTGTCATTATTATGGCTTAAAGTTGGCTAAGGTCACCCCGGTTCATCTGTTTTATACATTGGTAGCCTTCTACTTATTACTTGCCAAACAAACCTTTTTATTTTTGCACACGTTTATGTTGATTTTGTGGTTTCTGAAATTGGATTCTGGCTCCTACAGGCCTGTGTTTCCACGGCAACTACGGACCTTATCTGCTGCTGCTGTTTGGCAGACAGACAACAAGGCCTTTCAGTTTACTTCTCTCTCTTTTTTTTTTTTTATATTATTTTCTTTAAAAACCTTTTTCTTCTTCATAATTTTCTCTTTTTTCCTCCTTTTTATTATTTTTACTTTTCCCAACCCCTGTCATTTAAAAATCACATAATTAATTGAGCACATCCTGTGCCACACGGGGCTGCCACGACTTTGAAGTCCCAATAGATCATTTTATAGAGCCATGGGTACCATTTTTTCCAGCACAGCACCAGGCGCCAGTGCGAGTGCTTGTGGAATTTAGCATATCCTACTCCAGGTATGATAAAGAAACCTTGGCACCTTCTGTTTGTTTTTACTAATTTCCTTTCCAAACTGCCTTTTCAATACAGAGGAAAGACCTCAGGACTTAAAGTTTGTTATTTTCTCTCCAAAGTTAGTCCCTGTTCCCCCTGCCTCCCTCCCTCCCCTTCCTTTAAACCAGACTGAACTGCTTCTTCGCTTGGTGGTAAGTTTTCTTTTTTTCTTTTCTTTTCTTCAGGAAAGTGTGGTCTGATTTAGCATCGTGTAGCTCGGAGCTGTTACTGATCCTATAGCAGCAGCGAAACCAGCCGAGGGGAAAAGACCCTGACAGGCTCTATTAACCCTTAAAAACAATAAATGATCTCATCACCTTCTCAAATACAGAAGAAGAAATAATAATGCAATAATTTACTTCAGTGAAGGAACAAGTCTTTTGGGGATTGATACTGAAATCTATCCCAAAAGACACTGTTGCTGGCACTAATGAAGAAGGGCTGCTTTTCCACTAAACTGAAAATAAACTGCAATGTCCCTCAGCATTGCAGGAGAACATGCATATACAGGCATGGATAGACATGTACTATGTGAAGAATAGAGAGAGAAAGACAGAAGATGAGTGGAAACCTGCTAAATGAAATGAATATACAGGTGAAAAATAGCTGATTTTCCTGACAGGAGGAAACTTTGCAGTGGCACCATTGTTCAGCCTGCATTTGAAACAAAGGGCTTTAAAATCCCATAAAAACTTTTTTTTTAAAGAGTCAGGAACTTCTAGGGATGGGTTTAAAACTGCTCGTTGTCATCTATTTTTCCACATTTTGAAAAGGCAAACTTAATCACATGGAGTAGCTTTGTAGCGAGGAGCTAATTCAGGATTAATCCCTGCAGAATTACTGTCTTCTATTTAGAAAGGCGGACATTCTGCCTTACAAAGAATAATAGAAAAAGAGATTTTATATACAGACATACTAAACCAGCTTCTGACATCTAATGGGAAATTACATTTCTGTCAATGAGATCCAGAAGACAGTGTAAAAATCCTGTAGAAAAGATTTTATTCTCTCTGAAAATCTGAACAGATTTTAAATGATTTCTGGGCATATTTATGTTTAATTTTTATAGAGCTACATTTATTTCATCACTACTCAGGGTCTTATTCAAACTCTCATGTTGTAAATGAAAAGATTTCCATTGATTCCAATGAACTTTGGATTAAAGAGTTAAGAAGTTTCTGTGAGGCTAAAAATAGGAAACAATTCATTACAAAATCCCAGAGGTTCATTTTTAAAACCTGTATGTTTTACTCTGTTAGTCTGTGGGACAAAACCTTATATATTCAGTTATCTTTTGTCTGTAGATTCCTACATAAATCTATTTCGATCTAGATAAAAAAGCAGGCAAAGCTGATTACTGTCTCTGTCTATATTCAAATGCTTCTCAAAATCAATTAATATCGGATATCTCCAGCTATTCAGAGTCCTTTTAAAGACAACTGTATTTATAATGACTATTTTACAATTCCATTAAAATATTTGTATTGATTACTGGGTCATACTGTGTTTTTTAGAAGTATTTTTGCTGTTGCTTATACCAGTTTTCTGTCTTCCTTCCTCTTTTCTCTCTTTTATTTGTTCTGCCTTTCTTGAAACCTCACACATTCACTGTAACTGAAGAATATCGTGAGCCTTATAATCCCCCAAATCTAAATCCTATCTCACTTCTTATATACCTGGAATTATTTCCCTAATTCTCTGCACCACCGGTATTTTTCTAACTAACAAAACCTTCGTGGTTACAGGAATTGAAGCTTTATTCACTCAACGGAGCTGGGACACTGATGTGCCACCATTGCTGGGGCAGAGGCAGCAGACAAATCATTATTCTTTAGGCTGCTCAGGAGCCAGTTTCAGCAAGCATCCGAGGGATGCAGATGGCCAGTATATTCGCCATAAAGAGACCAGAGAAACTCCTTTTAAGCTGCTTTCTGTGTGTGTGCTTGTTACAGGTGCTAGAGCAGAACAAAAACTAAGCACAGAGCAAACCAGTGCTCAGTATCAGAGGTTTCCTCCAAGGAAGCCACACAAAGTGCTTTGTGAAGCTGGCATTGCAGCCCATGCTTATGGGACACGTCTTTCAGGAAGAGCAGGGGTTGACCCCGGATCAGGCTCAGCATTCCCACCTCCCTGCACCTAACAGCTGATGCGCAGAATCTGAGCTCCTGAGCTGGCCAAGAAACAGCTATATTCCACTAGGTATTATAGATGAAAAAACTTTGAAAAGCTTTCCTTTGGGACTGAAGACACAATGCAATTTTAAAGCAGTAATATTGTTATTGAGTTATCCAAAAGCAGCTGCTGTACACAGCCTGTGTAAGAAGTAGCATGCCAGAATGAAAGCCTTCAAGCTATTGCAAGGTTGATTCTTCCCTAAAATCTTTACATTTAGTTGCTCTTGTCTTAAAGCTGCTCAGATTTTGTTTAAAATTTCTGCTTGGAGCTGTTTTCATAGTTTCTGAGTTATTAAAGTGGTATTTTTATGTACATTAATGATAGCAGGCAAAAAAATTATTGAACTTTGCAAGCAGCAGGCTTTCTAGTTGGTTGGCTGACCCAAGGAACACATTGAGCAAAAGGTTTCCTTCGAGTTAACTTTAAAAGGACAAAAAGTCTTCCAATTTCATTTTGAAAATGTAATTAAATCTTTTTTTGCAATCAAATAAAGGACTATTTGGAAAGAAAGAATGATGGATATCAAAGCATTTCTATGTCAGAAACATTGCAGTGACCCATGTTGTTAGTGTTGAATTTTTTTCTCATTTGTGTAGGTCAGAACTACAGTGGAAAGCACGATTTGCAAACAGCTCACATTAACTGGAAACTACAATAGTTGGCAAATAAAGCATGCAAGAAATTTCACCTTTCTCTTGTGCATAAGACTGCAGGCCAAATCCTGAACTCTTGGGGGTCTCTAAAAGTTTTGCCACTTAATTAACAGAGACACTACTCCAAGAATTAGCATACCGAAAGAAGGTTTAGACTTGAAGGACAACTGTATTCAACTTATATATTTATAGACACTAGACTGATTGGTCAGTCAATTATTCTCTGGAATTTTGTGGACTCCAGGCATGTCAGCTCAAGATATACGAACCTATCAATTTCAGTAATAAAACTCCATAAATCTGTCCTAGATTTGGACTTGCAACAAAACCTGGAAGTTGGCAAATTTCAAATCATTTTGGGGTGATATTACAAGAAATTACCCACCAACTACCTAGCATGGTCTTAATAAGATAGAATATGAAAATTAAACATATATATATATATGTATGCATAAGTAGTGAGCTAGTTAAAATAGCCATTGGGTTTTTATGATAATTTCTCCAACTTTAGGAGTGTAAACCTGTACATTTTTTCCCTGCAAGACAGAAAGTAGACAATGAAGTTGCAGAAAATGTATGAGACTGGTTTTGTTTAACTTTGGTCTTCTCAATTTACTCCCACTGCCATTGCCCTCTGGATATTTTTATGGAAGTAAAAGAAAATGCTTCTTTTATATGTTAGAGTTATGTATGTGGGTGACTCATTTGGCAATATTAATAAGAAGTAGACTCAGTTTTCTTTTGAAATCTCCTAAAAAAAATTATATAAGTGAAAGAGAGAAAATAGTCAAATTGCAGAAAGAGGTCCTTTACTGCGTTGGGAGGGTTTTACCTTTCATATGGTGTTCCTAATTTTGCAGAATAGCAAGTTCAAAACAAAACAAAACAAAAAAGCAAAGAAAATAAATAGTATGAGTTGCAAGTAGAACTTGTCTAAAGGAAAGCCAGGCTGGGGATATTTTTGTTGTTGCAGAATTGTAGGTACAGTTCATGCCTGGGAAGGACTATGAACTTTTCAGTCTAAGACACGCTTTGTTGCAGGGTGACAATAGCACAGAATGCTGAAAAGCACGGCTCTTCCTCTTGAGCTGTCTAGCTCTGCTCCCCATTGACTGCAGATGGATCTTGCAGATATGGAGGAGTCGCCTAACTTTTACAGGGCAAAAATGAACTCAGAAGAAGCCCATTTCTCATGTGTATCTGCTTTTGGTCTTTGCCAGCGTTGTGGTACACGTGATAGTTCCATCTTGAACAGCTAAATAGCAGGGATTCTGTCTTGCTATAGGATTTTTTCAAAGCCTTTATCCTATAAAGTCTTTCACCTTTTGGAGCCAGGTTAGTTTTCTTCCATGTAATAACACTATTCTAAAATAGAATACAAAAAAAAAAAAAAAAAAAAAAAAAAAAAAAGAAGGTAACAGAGGAGAGGGAAACAGGACACTTATAACATTCACAAATGTAAGCAATATAAAATAAGTTTCTAGAAAAATACCCTTCCAAATTCTACCAGTGTGGCCCCCCACTTTTTCAGTTCATCTCTTGAATTAAATATAATCCATAATTGAATTACAAAATCCACCGGGCCTATCAGGTACTTTTGACAGGCAAGTGCAAATAAAAGACACTATGCTGATGAAAGCTATACGCAGGATAACCCTGAAGCAAAATGTGCCCAAGTCTGAATGACAGCACATAGTCTGAATGGTGTCCGTTGGGTTGGAGCTCTACTGGACCTTTTGCTAACATTGCCTTTCTACAGCAACGCAGCATATCAGTTTACTCCAACGTAGCATTTTTCAAGGGTGGAAGCATCCATCCTTAATTTTCCCCATTGTCTGTGTCTGCATTAGACAGCAGTCTCAGTCAGGGTCAGTAACTAACTGTTGCTATTGAATCACTATGAATATATTCACAAATAAATCCCTAATAATTAAATTCTTAGGGTTTTGATCTTCCTCAGAGGAGCAGAGTAATTTTTGTTCCCTTATGGATTAGATTATCCTGAAAGGTTATGATTCAAGCCTTCCCTTTTTCTCTGATATGATTCTTCCAGACCTAGGGACTGATAGGGCCCTGCACAGCACCAGGTCTATGTTTTCTCTGTAAATACAGCCTACAAAATTTCAACAAGTCAGCTCTTGTGTGCCACACCGAGAGATTGATGACAAACCACATTATTTTTCCCCTCCATATAACTGCCCACAATTACAACGGTACTCTCTCAAAACACTGGTTTGTTTTTGTCCAAGGAGGAAAGAGTGCAAGCATGGTCTGATATCTCAGTGTAGAGCTGGCAGCAACACTGAGCAGCATTATTTGTGGAAAATGCCCTTTTTTCCTCTCTTTTTTTTTCCAATCCGTGATAAAATATTGGATCTGATTCTGCCACATGCAGTTACACAGAGCCACTAACTCATCAGCACAGGGGCTGTCCATACCAAGCAAAGGAAAAGAAGGGATCACGGCTTTGCAAGGCTTGCTCAGAGCTCTGGCCTGCTTCTGTTACACCAAGGTTGCACCCAAAGTAAAGCACCTGGTGAAATTAGGATTCTTAGTTCTTTCCATAGATTAGGTTTGCAATATGATTTTGATTTTTAACCAAAGATCCATATTTTCTGTTTCTTTTTGCTTGGAAGACAAGTGACCTGACACGATAATCCAGTTCTGATCACTTGTAGAATGTTTCTAATGTCCAAATACACAAAGCTGTAAATTGGCAAGACAAACAAATTACAAAAACAAATTAAGAAAATAAGTAAAAGATCCTGTTTCCAGAAAGAAAGATGACTGCCTGGAGAAGGGGGACCATACTAGTGTTACCCTTAATCCCTTCTGATTTTACCATCCAAATCCCTTATCTTTGTATTGACATTCCTCCTGCATTTTGATTGTATCGCTTTAGACAAAATAAGACAGCAGTGCTGGGAGCACACTGATAGTTGGGTGCTCTGATGATATTTCCAGAAATGCTGCTGTCCTCCAGATAACTGAATTCCCAGACTCAACTGCAAGCTTATGAGCAAAAGCAGCACCTGAAAAGCAAGACTTCTTGCTTTCAAGTGAAAAATGCTTAGAGCATCAAACATATGTCAAAATCACTAATTTGTCATGAAGCCGCTACAGGCTTATATCATCAATCATCTTGACACACTGTACTTGAAACAGTGCTGAAAAGATACAAGTCATTTACTCAAAAATGTTTTCTTTATCTGTGTGTGCCCTTAAAAACTTCCATAATAGCAGTGAAATCTTTGCATTCACTATTCATTGTTTACAGTATGGGTTTAACTTTTGTAGTTTGTATATGAAACTAGAATCACTGAGTCTTTCTTCATTCGGTAGCACTTTTATTCAAAACGTGGATGTGCAGCACATTTTCAAGTGATAAAAGACCTACTTGTATTAACTTTCCCCCCTTACGCTTTGAAACTTTTCTGCTAATTCCAGTGCTTTGTTTTAAGATGTCCAGCTGAATTGTGGTATTCTGAGAGTCACAGATCAGTCAGAGTGCTTTGGATGCAAAATAAATGACTGAATTCCTCAGCTATGGCACATATATTACCAATATTTAGCTACCTCTGGAAAAAAAAATGGAATTTTCAATGAGACAAGTTTAATCAATCCAATTTTTAGGGGCCACATATACAATTTCTATATTTTCTAGTCCCTATACAAAATTTTAATGTGTGTTAATCTCAGGTATACTGTACCCCAAAGTCTCTCAATATTGTCTGTGAGACTATTCTGGCTTCTAAAGCTTTATGTAGCTCTAGCAAAGATATACAAGTTCCTAAAAGAACAGTCTAAAATTCCTCTGAAATTATAAACTGTAGCTGCATTGGTTGTTTGAAGCGAAAAAGTTCTGAAATCTTAATCCTTCCTAGAAAACTCAGGCCCAAAATAACAAAAATATGGAAAATGAAATAATGTCTCGAGATCTCAGTCACAGATGAACCAGAACTAAAATACAGTCTTCCAGATTTTGTGAATCACAAACCAAATTAGGGAGTAAGATCTTTGAACTGAAATGTTAATGTTCATTCCCCAAATTAAAAATAAAATAAAATAAAATAATCCTAATGAAATACTGGAAATCCAACCTTTGGTTCCAGAAGCACAATGAGTGTTGTCAGCAAATTAAGTTTCACACAGTTTCTTGTGTGGGGGAATGGGAAGCATTTTAAAGAAATTTTGGCATCAAAGCAGGATAAAGAGAATTGGGCCAATGCCTCGAGGAGCTCTGAAAATCCCACCAGTTTTCCATGCAATTTCTGACACCTCTCTGGAAAGTCTGCACAGCTTAATCCTGGGAGCTGCAGCCCTGCTCTTGAGCTGTGTTTGGAATGACTTGAGAATGAAGTTAACAGGAGTGGGAACTGTCTGCAGTGAACTTTAGAAATCCTTTTGCATTTGTAGCAAATTCATATACTTTTTTTTTTTTTTCTTTTTTCCCCAATTTTTTTCAACAAGTAGTCAGTTCAGAATGTCATGATCTCTAAGGCCATCTGTAGACACTTTGGGAGTTTTTTTTTGTAAAGATGACAGGTCTCAAGATGTGGCTTTGCAGGAGCACTGACTTGGGATACTGAGGTGAAAATGAGGGGAAGAGCCTACAGCATATTTCTTTTCCTTAAAAAAAAAAAAAAAGAAAAAAGAAAAAAGCAGAAAGAGAGCAATAAAGCAAAAGGCATTTCCTAAAGGTAGCCATTAAATCATTCAACACACTGGCCCCCTGAGAGCACAGAGATTCCTCTTTCCTTTCCAGAATGGGTTTTTACTAACCATTTCTCATCTAATGCTCGGTGTCTTCACCTGGCTCTCTCTGGGCATTTCCCCAGACTTCATGCAGCAGGACAGCACCGCAGCTCTCTCAGAGATGGGCCTTGGCCCATATATCACTTTCAAAGAATTTTTCAATGGGTCCCCAATGATGTCGACCAAGGGCTCTGTTTTGCTCGTGATAATGTGCTAATGCTCCAAGACTTGGCATAAATTTTCTCTGCGCATCATCATTTGTCAAAGTCACAACATGGGGCTGGAAAATGAAAAAAAAAAAAAAAAAAAGATAAACACAACAAAAACACAACCCCAGACCAAAAATAAATAAATAAATAAATAAAAATAAAAAAGCAAAGCACAACTACAACAAAAACAACAACAGCAAAAAAAAAAAAAACAAACCAAAACAAACCAAAACAAAACAGTAGGAAGAGGTAGAAAATGTGGCTTTCTTTTTTTCTTCTTTTGTCCCACATGATTTTCCTCTGTTCCTTTTCCCCCTTCTCCTTAATCTGCAAAACAGCTGATTATAGAGAAACGCTAAGCAAAGGCTTTAGTTTCTCCCTCGTATGTATGCCTTTGTGTGTGTGTGCATGCACGTGCATGCTGGACATTTTTATAAATGGAAAATCAGAATTCATTAAGGGAACCTTTACCACCTTTGGTTAGGAAAATGCTTTGGGAGAGTTGGTCAACTGGCGTTCGCTCCCAGTTAAGTCATCATTTGGGCTGATAAAATTAGATGGAAAAACATGATCATATTGAAAGGGCCTAATGGCTGATGGGATTTGCTTTTAATCATCTCTGAGGGAACAATCCCACAGACCACATCAAAATGTTTTCTAGAGCTTGCTTAAAGGGAAAATAAAAGAAGTGTAGACAGAAAAAAAAAAATCAAACATTTCAACCTTGTATTTCTGTTTCTTTTCTGCTGTTTTCTTTTTTTTTTTCTTGTTTTTTCTTGCTTTTTTCTTTTTTCTTTTTTTCCCACCATCTCTTTGCCTAGCTATCATTTTAGTTAGCTGCTGATAAAACAGTTCAATTTGAAACTAATGATGAAAACAGACTGATTTGGATGTTTAGCTGACATTTGTGTTCCAAAATGCCAAGACAGACAAAATGCACACTGCTAACACAATGGGTAGTGCCTGTGTAGCAGTGTGCTCGAGGTCCAGGAGGGGAGCTGTGACAGCATTTGGGTCCTCTTCCCTCCCTTGTGTTTTTATCTTTGTAGTTTATAAAGGTAATATAGATACTTTGGTAAAAAGCAAGAAACTAAGGTCACTTCTCTAACAGCATTCGAAGTCAATCTAATCTACCTGGAAAAAACACGTCTGGGCCAGACATTTTATTTGCTATCAGTGCATCCAGGCCTTAGCTAGAATCAGATGAAAGTTGATCTAAATGAAGGGAAAACATACATAAACTGATGGAGTTAAACCAGTGGAGTTTCACCAGGGATGCTCAGTGTCCTGCCGCTACTTCTAGCTCAGTGATTGTTAAATACATTAACAGAAAATGACAACCTGGGCTTCCAAGCTCTTCTCACTGGTGCATTCACTGAGCAGCACTCACCTGCAGTAGCTGTCCCACTAAAGTCTATGCGAGCAGTGGCGCAAAGGTGAGATTTGTACTACAATCCCTGAGACAGATTTAATGCATGTTTGGGTGGCAGAATCCAGCGTGCAATATTTTGCAGAATAAGACATTCGCTGTATTCAAGGTAATTTTATTTAAACCATTAACAGGTAGGCTTTGCACTACCTGTTAGCCACTGCTGGCTTCCCAGAACCAGCAAGAGAGCCTGGAAACTCTAACGGGATTAAAGTTCGCAGCCATTAAGCCTCTCCTTTGTTGCATTCTGTCATTTGATATATATCTGTTTTGCCTTAAAAATATTATATTAAATGCTGCTCAGTCTCTGTGCATTGAAGTGGCACCGTTCCTGCTTCCAGCTCTCGAGCAGGCACCGAGGCTTTATCATCGGTGTCCTCTTACAGGCTGTATCTTAAATCACGGCATGAAATCGAGCCCTTCGCTGTGCTTGCTGTCTGTGCGTGAGCCACATCAGCGGCTGGCAGCGCTCCCGAGCCCTGGCATCCTTCCTCAGCAGCCTTGAGTCCAATTAGGCTTCACCTCAGGTAACTCTTCAAAAGAAAACTCTAATAATCATAATGTGATGGGCGACATGTCAGGAAAAAGAAAATAACAGCCTGAAATCCGGTATTAACCTGCAGTGGAAAACAAGCCATGGGGTATTTCCATGAGGAATCTTGGAAGCCATACAATGGGTGGGAGGGAAGGGACGGGGGAGAGAGGGAGCTCATGCTGGGACGGGTGTGAAAGGGAAAGGGCCTTCGCCAAGGTCTGCTCCTAACCCAGGGCTCGTGGACCCAGTTTCGGGTTTCTTACCTCTGCTGACAATTTGTTACACTTGCTATCAGGGAGATTAGAAGGGAAATGTTTACGGAGGGCTTTCTCTGAAGAGGAGAAGGAGCTACACGATGCTATAACTATTTTTCTTTCTCTTTTAGTTTTGAGTACAGCTTCCCCCTATCACTGGGCCTGCTCCTGCCACACTTTCAGGGTTCTCCATACCCCATTAAGCCCCAGGAATCAGATCTGGGACTTGTGGAGCAAGCTGGGGCTCAGCTCCAGCACTGCTGTGTGGGTACCGCTGCTCTCTTTGCAGAAAGATCCAAAGGAGAGAGGGAAAACGGAACGAGATGCAAACAGAGAGGGGGGATGGCTGTGGCACCCCATCCTTCTCCTGCATGGGATCCCTGCCAGCTCTGCAAGCACTGGGCTGGTGCCAACTATCGCGTTCGCCCGTCCCCATCCTCCTGCATCCTCCAGCAGCCTCTGTCCAGAGCCACGCGGCTGTCCTGGGGAGGACCCATCCCTTGGGAAAACCAGTGGAAACCGGAGTTAGTCCTCGTCTGTTTAACTAGCTCTTCATTAGGTATGCTTTCTATAAACACAGATTAAAAGAAAACAAACAACAAAAAATAAAGATACTGGAATTACTCTGAGGAAACTGTATCTTTGTGGGCCAAATTAAACTTCATATAATAGCTCTTCTTTATATGAGAAGGGAATAATGTCTTCAATTATATCAAGGCATGTAATTACACACTTATGCACTAAATTAAATACGCTTCTTTTTTAGCACAAATCAGGTTGAATATCAATTACAGCTTCTAAAAACATATGTAGTTAAAAAAAATCCACTTCATATATTTAACTTTTCAAGATAATTTTATTAATATGTCCACCGATTATAATTTAATGTACAAATTGCTTGGCATAGAGTTTTTGATGTAGTGCAAAACCAGCAGTTTCAAAGTATTGAAGAATGCCAAACTCCAGGGAGAACTGCACTAAGCAAACCTATCTGTGCAAAGAAAACTCTGTATTTTCAAAGATTGTTATCAAAATGGATGCTGACTAACGGCTTGTTTAGCCAAGAACAATATGTTTGCTTCTTACAGGGTTCCTTATTTTACTGTGTATGTTTGGCCTCCCTGTGTCATTTCCGTCACGAATTCATCACAGAGAGGCAGCCATACAGTATTTGATATAGAGATGCCTCTGGTTTCCACAAGCTGAAAGCACAGACAAATTGTGCAAAAATACTGAGCAAAAGTTTCAGACTGGATCTGGAAGGGAAAAATGAAGTCTATTTATTTAGTTTAGCCAGTTCTGTTTAAGTGGGAAAATACTGAGAACTGAAAAACTGTGTTGAAAATGTCATGATTCTCAAAAATAATCCTGCCAATTATAGAAAAGTCACTAAAATATTGCTTTTTAAGTATGGATACGTATTCCTGAATACACATTATGAATAAAACGTTTTTTCAGACAATATTTACTGATGGTTTCTAATGTTTCAAATCAGACTTTCACTGTACATATTTTTCATTACAGCATTCAATCCAGCATGTAAGCATATATTTCATCATAGTTCTGTAGCTATGGACCCTAACTGATTATTTGCTTAAAGTTAAGCATGAGCTTAAGTAGTCGGCTGCATTGGCGCTTACATGGACATTCCCACCAGTATAATATTCCTAACCCCTCCTGTGATTACCGTATTCCCCATAATGGGAACCCCAATATTACTAAGGACTTGGCCAATCTTGTCCAATGTCAACAGAATGGGAGGTGCCATTTCATTAATTTCCCCTGACTAGGGACAAAAATAACTTCATATATTTCTTGGTTTTGTGTTTCAACCTCCAGGAGAACAATTTTCTTAAAAAGTAAAAAAATTGGTTACTTTATACCCTAGCTGGTTACATTAGACTGTAATTTCACAAGGCATCAGTGATTCCAGAGACTGATTTTTGACAAGAAAAAAAATGACCACACATTTGCTAACATCAATAGTCACCTTTCCTCATGCATAAAGCATATGAACACATTTTTGGCTGTCAGTATTTGAACAACAGAAAATGGGAAGGAAGAAGTATAGACATGTTTTAACTTTCTGACAAACTGTTTTGATGAACGGGGATCCCCGCACTGGCTAAAGAGTGAGGACAGAAAAATGGGTCCCTGTGGTGCAGGGCAAGATCTCCTCTAATAACAGAATGAGTGAGCAAATCAGGGGAACCACAACTTTCCTACTGTGTGAGAGACCACAAATAATGGAAGATAAACAGATACGAGAAGGAGCAATTCATTTTCCATGCCCATTAAGTTTTCCAGGTAGAAATGGGTGTCAATGTATTTATGATTTGGTCTCTTATGTCTCTTCAGGTCTTCCTTAAAGCAGACTGAAGATGGATTTTGGGTTTTTGGTCCATTTTGTAGTGTATTCAGCCCGTGTTTGATAACGGGCTAAAATGAACTCTTATAAATCTTTCTGCAGCTATGTAAAGCAGGACTCCATTACAAATCTGTAGCTACCCAAATGGTTAAAATCCTGGTATAATAAAGGCCATGTGCATAACTTCTGAAACCATTGCAACAAACGGCTTTCCTTTTTATGTATATGATATCACTGGGATTGTTTTTATACTGCACTATCAGTAATAACACAACACAATCACATATTTGAAACTGGGATTAATATTTTTGCAGCCACTAAACACCTGAAAGCCCTCTTCTCCTCCCTTTATCAGCACAATTCATTTTTATGAGGGTATTGCATAAAATGAGGGAGTGCAGGGAGTTGCCATGTCATGAAAGGCCAGGTGCCCATCTGTTTCAAAATAACTCTTATAGCTATAGTTAAGCTTTAAATGCTTTAAGATCATGGGGTGTCGAATATAAGGAAATGCATTATTCAGTGTGACAACATATGAGCAACTGCAGTGACAGGGCGCTAACACAGGCCCTCCTGGATAACCCGCACAGCTCCTGCAGGGACAGTTCCTCCTCCGCTGTCCAACCGAGGGATGATGCCCACAGGAACACCAGAGTCCCCATAATGAGGCTTTTTGTAGGTATACACACTCTGTGCTCTCTGCCCCAAATCTGCTGTGATGGCAAAACAGAGGGAGAGGAGCAAAATTAATTAGTTTTCCTATGGGTCCTCTAGCAGGGTTGATGAGTTCACGTTTTTCTTTGCATTGTCTACCACTGTGATGTCCCTTTGTTATGTGGGCGAAGGGTAGTAGGCAAATGAAATACAGCTTGTGTGTGACTGGACTGTGAGGGTTTTGCTTGTCCTGAGGGATGTGTCGCCAGTCTGTCCCTGTCCTGTGTGGCTCAAAGCTCACTGAAACCCTTTGCTGAATGCAAAATCCCATCCAAAAATTGCATTACATTTAGGCTCCAATGTGGCTTCAGGTCTCCATTTGAAGGACAGCATAGACAATGCCCTGTGTGCCTTTTCCATGGTGTATATATATAAAAATATATATGTATATATATATATTTTAAAAAGGAAGCCTGTGGCAGGGGAAAGAATTAAAAACAGGTCTCTCAAATCCCAAGTTAACCTTAACCACTGGATTATTTTTTCTCTCTTGTGTGAATACTGCCTATGCATACTGTATACAAATATGAAAGAGATTTACTGGAGAAATAACCTGAGGCACAATAATACGTGTGTGCATGTGCGTACATATATATAAATATATATATTCTCAATATCAGCCTGAGAAAGCATTGCCTCATAAAAAGTCTCAGAACAGCCAGTAAATTCTGGGCCAGATTTCAACTCATGTTCCTGAGATAAGGACCAGAGGGAGGAGGAAGAAAAAGACAGCAGCAATCCTTTTATCCTTCTGGCCACATATGGTAGGTCTATTTCTTTCAGCAGATGTGAATAAAAATAGATATATTTACAATTGCAGTTGGATACAGAGCTGAGCACTAAGCGAACACAGAGCAGCCGTTTTCATCAATGCTAATACCATAATAGTCTGGATTATGCAGTGCGCTGTTGCTATAATAACATTCGTTTGCTGTCAGCGCTCCTGTGTAAAAACAAATTAGCTGGATGATTAATGAATATCAAAAACAGCATGTGGATTCTCCTCTGTGATGCTTCAGCCCAGTGTGAAATCTGCTGCCGCAGAGCTGTCTCTGCTGTTTGCATTGCAGAGTGTCTCCTTGGCAGATGTGGGCATCACTGAGGAAGGTGGTTTCTGACCACAGTGTCTTTTCAGCCTTTTTTTTTTTTTTTTTTTTTTTTAATAAACAATATATCAGAGAAAACAGCGAGAGTCCAGATATAGGTGTTGAGGTGAGAAATATCTCTTTTAAATGTAGTCTGACCTCTACCAGATCTGCATCCCTGAGGACAGCTTTATGGAGAGGGGCCCTCCAGCAAACCTCCCAACAAGCAGCCAGGCAAGAGCTTGAATTACGAAAGCTGCTGATAAGCACTGAGGATCACCACGGTACTTTCAAGCATGTAGTAACACCTTATGTTCTAGGTGGACTTTGGGTGGGGAAGCTGGGGTTTAATTTGGGTTCACTGCAAATGAAACCTTTTAAAATAGCAGGAATGGTTTGGGTATGCCTATAGCACCACAGGTATGATGACACCTAACCTCGTGCTGACCTGATCTGGCACTTCCCCAGGTGAGAAGCAGTGTTATGAAGCAATAGTCACCTGGGTGGCAAAACCTGCTCTGATAAGGACACAGCACCATGGTGATAAAGCTACATTTCATCTGGGCCCAGAGCTGGTGCAGACACCAGCAGACATTGTAATTCTTGTAGGACCTAGTCAATCAACACTTCCACAGTAAAGAAGGGTAAAACATCTGGTGTACTGTCGTGGCGGTGCTATTTCCAGTGATTTAGTGTGTGCAGAATGATTTAATAAAATAAAAGATTACAATTAGTAATTGAATTTATGGATGCATGCAGTGGTTGAAGAGATTAATTCAAGTTATTCCAAATGTATAATGCAGTTTCATAATAAATCCTTAGCATTACATCTTACGAAATAACCAGCTGTGCAATACACTAGATATAAGCAGCGACAACATTTGGGTTCTTCTAAGAGGCTCAGCTTGACAGTTATGCTATCTCCTGTGTATATGTGTTTATACAGCTCTCAGAGCCCCGTTCTGTGTTTTATCATATCTCTGCTGCGATTTATTAACGCAGAGACACTTCAGTTCAAGATGTTGACTGAAGTGCTCAGTGATTCAAGGAGATTCTGATACCTTGAGCTGTACAAATGAGAATTTGTGTTCTTTGTCTTAGTGACAGTAGTTCTGGAGCTCACACGGTAATAGAGATATTGATGGTAAGGTTCAGCTGTGACATCTGGCAAGTACACACATGCACAGACTGATGTGTATTTTCCTTGTTGGTGAAATACTCCAAAAAAGCCCAGTCAAGGAGCAGTCACAGAAAGCAGGCATCTGCTCCCTTCTCCTTTGACAATCCCCTCCTCCCACCTTGATTGTATTTTCTTTTTTAAACTTCTACCTTTTTTACTGCTTCCTAGATCACATACCTGAACGGAATCAGAGCGAAATTTGACCACAGAGAACTGGCATCTGTCATCAAAATATACCTCCAGAGATCGCCTGTTTGTTTTTCTTGCTGTACACATGTGCACTGCAGCATTGTGGGTATTTTTAACCTTTTTTACCGTGAAATACCCATCTCTTGCAGGGGTGGTTTAGATGATTCTGTATAGGATTTCCATGACAAATAGATAGATTATTTATTTTTTTTTTCACCATCATTAATCAAGATTTTAAATGTCCAAGGGTTCTTGAAGAAGGAGGCCCCACTCTGCCTTGGCATCCTATGAGCACCCACACCTGCTCGAGTTTTGCAGGTGGTGCTGCATCTCCCCAGCTTCCTTGCAGACCAATGAGTTCTTCTGGGAAGCTCAGACAGGCTCCAGGAGGCTCAGAAAGCTCCTTGGTGGCTTGTTGGGATTGAACTGGGATGTTTCTATCCTGGTCGAACCCTCTTTTCTGTCATGCACAGGGACTGGGAAAAATATTTTACATGCTGCTCTGATGTACCCAAAGAACTGCTCCCCCTCTGCATAAGTCAGCCTGAAATGTCAAGCAAGCAGATAGAGCCTCTTTGGGGAGCTCAGGGCAAAGAAAAACTACATGTCATGTAACTAAAGCAGCTCTGGATGAGTTAGGAATAACAGGGAAAAGTGCAACCTGTTTGCCTGTGATCTGTGGTACCAAGCATGCTCCTCACTAAGGGGCGCCAGGTAGAGGTGCTTGAGGTTTTTAGCATTTATAGGGTTAATTGTGTTTTTTGTATTATATACACACACACATGCGCGTCAAGTAGTTATATAATATAAAAAGGCTCTTTTCTCATATCCCCACAGCGTGCAATAGGACTCCACATATAGCACACCAAAAAAATAAAAAAATAAAAAAGTCCCAACACTGCCAAAATCTACATTTTCATTTGGCAAA